CACACACACACACACGGCACCGTGGTGGCGCAGTGGTTAAGCACTCTGTTGTGAACAAAGGTGGTCAGCAGCTCGGTGGGCGAAAGATGCGGCCGTCTGCTTCCTACGCCGTCGATTTAAAAACAAACACAGAACCCACTGCCTAAGGGTTGTTTCTGACCCTGACCCTGCAGGAACCCTGGCGGTGTAGTAGTTATGCACTGGGCTGCCATCCTCGAGGTTGGCAGTTCAATACCAACAGCCGCTCCACAGGAGAGAGACAGGACTTTCCACTCCAGTAAAGGCCGCAACCTTCCTCGTCCCCGGGGGCCAGTGCTGTGGGGTGGTTTGGGGTCAGGGTTGACTCGGTGGGGGCGGGTTCCTGTATCTGGGGTTGGTCGGTTAACGGGTGTCCTATGTATAAACTAGACTAGATGTCCCGCATGTCCACCGGATGCCCAGCCTTGGAGGCCACTGCCAACAAAGCCTGTCACCAGTGCTCGCCCTTTCCGGGCTCCAGTTGGCTGTTCCAGCTGGACCCCGGGGGCACTGGTGGCAGGAGGACAGAGAGGTATACTCAGGTGTGGAACGCAGGATGCTCCCAGCCTCCCCTCCTCTGCCCTGGCTTCTCAGCCACAGCAGGGGGCTGGCCCAGGCTTTGCGGGGCCTGAAGCTTATTCCACATTAGGGGAGCCCTTTACGAAAAAGCACAGAAAATGACCAAGAGAAAGTGAGCTCTGGGCTGGAGGTTTATTCGCAGCGAGGGAAGAACCGGCCATGATGTCAAACACTGAAAAGTAGGCAAGCACTCTGTGGTTGCTGGTGGCCATCGGGCCTCTCTGACTCTTGCTGACCCACTTGTGCAGAGCACAACCACTCCCTGGATTCCCCAGGCTGCTGGGACCTTTGGGGAGCAGTTGGGCAGGCCTGCCTGGTGGGTACAAATCACCAACCTGCTGGCCAGTCGTTGGGCACTGAACTGTGTGTGCTCCAGGGACCTCATTGGTAAATCCTGTCTCAAGCTTACCTGATTCTGATTCACGGCCACCCTGTAGGGCAGGGTAGAACCGCCCCTGTGGGTGGTTTCTGAGACTGTCACCATGTACATGAGTTGAAAGCCTCATCTTTCTCCTTCGGAGCGGCAGTTGGTTTCAAACTGAGTACCTTGTGTTTAGCAACTCCACGCAAAAGCACTACGCCGCCAGGAAGCCTGCAGTCCATGCTATAAGCGCCTTAAAAATCAAGACAAATCGCAAGCACCCCTCCCCACGCCTTATCCCCTCTGGTTACTATCCTCCACCCGAAAGATCTTTGTTTTAGGACATTCTGGGCCACACACTCCCTTCCCAGAACAATTTCCTAAGACCTTTTCTGTGGAGAGAGGGAAAAAGATTAGCCTCCGCAAATCCTTGTCAGCAAGTCTCTTGAGACGTGTTCTGTTGCCGTTGCTATTACAGAAAAGCGCCCGCCGCCTCCTCCCTCTTC